AAAAAAAAAAAAAAAAGAGACTCTCTTGCTCTTAACTCAACCTAAATAAAAATAAGGTATATATATATATATATATATATATATATATATATATATATTTGAATATGTACATCTAGCAAAAAAAATGCATATTTGTGTTTCTGTGCTTCTGTTCATTTATACATGTGTTTTGGTTAAAAAAATGATTTAGATACAATCTTAAGGAGGAAAAATATTTCCACATACAACTAAAAATGTCTTTAAATTCAGCTTTATTGTTCATTTCTGGCCATTGCAGGTTTGTAAAAAAAGGAATATTTTTTTTTTTACTACTGTGATTAATGTTGTATCCATTTCTATGCAAGTCTTAAGTGCAAGTTTGCAAACTGGCAATTATTTAAAAAAAATAAAAAACATGTTTGTATGAGGATCGTGAACAAACACGTTCCCTTAAGTTGATTAATCAACTAAATAAAATTCCCACTGTCTTCAATGAACTCAACTCGTGATTATCTGTCTTAAATGCCAGCATTTTACAGATAATTGAAAATTAAGCTCATATTTCACTACTGCATCCATTTAAATTTTTCTGCAAGAAACTTGCAGAAAAAAAAGATTTTTCATGTTTGATAAAAGAGGCACTTTGTTTTGAAAGTCATAAAATTGAAGGGCTGGTGTTTGAGCTGCTTCCTGTGTGGGAACATACACCACTGCAGCACACATGAAGGAGAGCTGCAGCTACCAGTACTGTCTCCCTTTCTCTTTGAATACCTCTGTATAGTGTGAAAAACACTTTGCTTGTTGAATAAAACAGAATTCTGCAAGATGGTTTTTAAAACGTTGGCTGCCACATGGCTTGTTAAAAAGTCTGAATCCTAGCCGTAGATGTCACCAGGCAGGCCAGTTTTTCTCATGGTAACCAACTGCTAAACCTGCATGTTTTAAGATACCAAAATAAGTTGATGCTGTATGTAGGTGATGTCACTGTAGTCATTAATACAGTTTATTATCTTTATTTATTGCTTTAAAATGATGACGTGAAGAGGAAAATCACTAAGCAGTGATAACATTATTAAAGCTGAACAATCTCTGCAGATAGTCCACAGGGAAACTCTGTAATTAGATTCACACTATCAGCATGATATCCAGTGACATATTGTATTAAATTGAATCCTCTTGTAAAAGAAAAAAAAACATACAATGAATTATTTTATTTGGCTTTAGCTTCTAAAAGTCATATAATTTCCTGGTAGACTCATTAGTCAACAGTTAGCTGCTTGTCAGCATATTAAACCATTCCTGTCGTGTGTTTCTGTGCTGTGTGTATTACAGACTCTGCATGCAACAGTGCGCCAGGCTCCGGCCCCAGTTCCCCCAACAACAGCTCCAGTAACATCCCCAGTGAAAATGGGATCCCGATCTCCACCAGCCCAGGAGAGGTGAGCAGGATGGCTGCACACGTGTGCATCCCTCTGACTGCAGACACACTTTCGTCTTCCCAGTTTATGCAATGCACAGACTCTCGTCATAGTGACCACAGAGTCATTATAACCTACGGTTATAAGATTAGATTTTTTTTTTACCAAGCCATTGATTTGTTCATAAAGCTTTATAATATTTGTAAAATTCTCTTTTGTTTGTCTCAGTAAATGCTTTTATAACAATTTTCCCTTTTAAAGACAGTTTTTGAATGAACTTTCAGTCTAACATCTCCTGCTAGGATTTTTAATGTTTTCTTTTCAGCATATGCATCGATACTGGTATCAGTTTTAAATGAAACAGAAAATAAAGAAGTGACTCATTTTGCCCATTCACACATCAAAACACTTGGTCTCTGACCTTTATTTGATTTTTACAGAAACAAGTTGCTTCACAGAAATTGCTGTTGATTGACGAGCAGGAAGTGAGTTTTCACTTCCACTGCATTTAGTGAACATGACAAAATACAATTCAGAATTTGTTATATTTGACTGGCAAATAACCAGTGACTTCTCAGGGATCCAATTAAAGCATCATTTCTGAACTCTATGTACTAATGTTTTTCTTCATTTCTCTGGGGGAAAAAAATGTCTCATAGAGGAGAGAAAAATAAAGCAACCTCCAGTTTTTGGTTTCATGTTTCAGAACTCTAGAAAACAAAAGTCAGTGTAAATATCCGTGAAAAGGTTTCTGTTAACAGATTGTTTTGGTGCATGTGTGCTCAGGCCTCTCTGATTCAGAGGCTGGCTACCAGGGACGGTCCACTCAGCCAGCTGTCTCTCTACACGTCACCTTCTCTGCCCAACATCACTTTAGGACTGCCTGCCTCTGGCCCTGCAAACTCTGTGAGTAAACAAGCTAACCAGCATTAATGACCCACACTGTCCTGATTGTTACTTAAAGGAATAAATTTAAAAACACAGGAAACTGATTTAGTTTGATACAGAATTAACGGTTGCTGAAACAGGCGCTGAGTTGTATTTTTGGCAAGTGGGTGTACAGTATATCAGATTTTTGGCATTACCATCTCTCTCCATCTCTCTGCCCACGTGTCACTTTTTGACCGTTCTCCCACTCCGACTGTCTGCCTCCCTCTTTTCTTCTCCGTCTTCTCGTGTCTTTCCGTCTCTGTCTCTTTTGTAGGTGGTATCGGGACACCAAGATGGCGAGAGTCATCTGGCGCTGCCAGCGTTGCAGCCGGGCATTCCACTGGCCCCGGCTTTTCTGCCCACCTCCCACCTGCCGTCCTACTTGGCCTCGTCGGCGTTGGACAGGGACGGGCCTGGAGGGGGCGCAGCTGGTCACAACCCCCTCCTTCAACACATGGTGCTAATGGAGCAGAGCCACAGCTCAATGGGTCAGCAGCCACCACAACATTTATATAAACCTTCTTATTTTCATCTTAAACTCCCCGCTTTTTTTTCATTAGCATATTTTTATTCATTTCTTTCCTATAAATAGGATTTCAAAGAATTGGAACGATCATTGAAAAGTCACATATTTCGGATATTTATTGTTGTAAAAATGTAAAATTCAGTTTCTCAGAGAAAATAATTGTTATATCAGGACAATTAAAAGCTGAAAGGCTGCTAAACTTTTAAGGAAGCTTATTTTTACTTCATTGGTTTTGTTGGATCTTCTTCTTGATAATACTCCATAGATTCTCAGATTTTTCCAGCAGAGTTTTTGAAACAGATTTTCTTCAAATTTCTCTCAAGACAGTCGATTATATGCTTTTTTGTCCTTCCACTTAACTTTCCATTTGTATGTTCGGATGCAGAATTCTGGAAACAGCCAGCTTCTTTACTAATGAACTCCTGTGACTTATCCTTCTTCACTGGTTTATTGATCTTTTGTTCTGTTCTTATTTTGTGTGAAACTAATTTTTTGGTTTTAAGCCAAAAGCATCAAAACTTATGAATTTGGGAGAAGTTAACTTACTTATAAAATGTTAAGTTTTTAAATTTATTTACTAGGCTCTGATGATGATATTTTAAAATATTAACAAGCACTGTTTGGATGTTGCCTTGGAGGAAAGTTAATAGGTTGCCTGTTTTATGAGCCTTAGTCCATCTGTAAGCTTGCAAATTAAAATTCAACGCTGCTCAGCAATAAGAGCATTTCTTTGTTTTTCCACAGTCGGTCTGGGTGGTCTGCCTCTCCCGTCTCCCACCGTCTCCAAGCTGGTGCGGGGCCACCGTCCCCTGGGAAGGACCCAGTCGGCCCCTCTGCCTCAGCAGCCGTGCGGACAGGCGCAGGCCCTGCAGCAGCTGGTGGTCCAGCAGCAGCATCAGCAGTTCCTGGAAAAGCACAAGCAACTGTTTCAACAGCAGCAGCAACAGCAGCACATCATCAATAAGGTATCTCACCATGTCCAATGCGCACTTTGTCAAAAAAGCATTCAGACACCTGTCTCAGACCCAAACAGCAGCAAGTTATAGTGGTGCAAATCGGGAATATTTTAAACCACGGATAATATCTAATATCTGTGTCTTCAGACTAGTTCTCCAGACTGTATGAGGAAAAAGAAACCTGAATGAAATGAAAAACTCTGTCTCCTCTGAAGCAGCATTTGAATAGAATCAACTGGAGATTTTTCCTCAGTACTTCATGTACAAGTGCATTTGAATCACCTGCAAATGATTCAGTTAATGTGCTTGAATCTCGTTTGCCGTCCGCAAGCCGGATGAATCAGCCATCAATCAGCAAGTCTTTAGTCTTGTTTTTTTATTTTCTGTGTGCCCGTGTCCCTGCTTCCTGCCGTCGCCGTGGCAACCAGGCGTGCGGGGCGGGGGAAAGCCTCTACCATGTAAGGTCAAACAGGAAGTATGACTCACCGCATCGCTGTGGAAGTCTGTGTTTGTGCGATCTGAGAGAGATGCGGCGTGACGGGAGGAGATGCTTGTTTGTGGTATAGACGCGTGTGCGCGCGCGCTTGTGTGTGTGTGTGTGTGCGGGTGTGTATGTGTGCGTGTGTGTGTGTAGGTGTGTGTGTGTGTGTGTGTGTGTGTGTGTGTGTCTCTGAAGTTCCTCAAGGAATACGGTCCATCGCTTTGTGTTCTCTGGCTGCACGTTGCTCCCTGCGCTTCCACACTCAAGGTTAATTAAGTGAAGCTCAAGTGCAACTTAAGGTTGTTTTTATGCTGGATTAAAAGTTGCTCATGTTGTCTCCCAGGCAGTTTATTTTCTTTCTTGTGGAAATCAAACTTCAGTGTCTGATTTCATTCTTCTTTAAACTTCTCCAAAACTCCCTTCCTCTTTTCGTGGGTCTTCTTGATGCTCTTTGTTCATTTTATCCTGTGGAGACTAATTAGGCCTCTTCTGGTTTTATTTAGGGGCACCAGAGTAAACAGGAGAGACTTTCAGATTTTTTAAACTTTTTATTATTGTGGATGCATGTGTCATACTCTCTGTTCACAATTATGAAGTGGTTGTTTTGTGTGTGTGTCTATCTAATAAAATCCCTGTAAATTACAAAGTAATTGTAAAAGACAAAATGCAGAAAAGTTCAAAGAGTGCGAATACTTTTGCAAGGCGCTGCATTCAGGCTAAGTCTCATAATGTAGTTATTCTAAAACAATAAGCTAACTTTTGCCTTACTGTAAGTTATCTGCATGGCAGCTTTTTTTGTTGATTGCTTTGAAACTGTTGAAAATATCTTCATGGAGGGAGGATTCCAAAATCCATAAACCACGACCTCTAATCAGAGCTTTTTTTGAGTGTATACTTAAATTTTACTGTCCATGTGTGAAGTGGAATCCCTTCCTTTATTCTATGTGACGGTTTGACGCAGATGAGTGTTAATTAGATTTTTACAACAGGCATTCATTTGGATACCAACCTCAAATATCCGTACATAATGCAGTCCAGAGTAGATCATGCCATGTTTGCTTTCCATCTGTTTGGAGTGAACGCGTATGCCTTTGTTCTGGATGCAACAAGGGTTTATGTTTTGGTTCTTTCATAGATAATTACTTCTGTGATATAATTTGTGCACATCAAAAGTTCATGTTATGCATAAAAGGAAGCTTTTTGTTTGTGAACTCTAGCTCAACAGAATGGGCAAAATATAAATGAGTCAGAAAATACACGACTCAAAGTTATTTTCTGCTAATATTTCAGGTCATGGTATGAATAATTGTGCAGTTTGAAGTTATATGCTGCTTCCTTTTTGCTCCCTTATTGTGTAACATGTTTAAACAACAACCAACCTTTATTTTTATTTGCATTTTTCATGTTTCTCTCTTTAAACATGACAGTAAAATAACATGTTACAGCTCTGCAGAAAGCTAGTGATAATAGTTTTTAAAAAATCATATATTGTCTAATATTACATTAAAACCAAATATTTAATTGCATAGTTTAGTATGTGAGTAAAAAAGAATAAAAATAATAATCTAATTATTAATTATTCTGGTATAGATATTGTTATATTCTTGACTCAATTTATTTGGTAATAAACAATTCAATGTTCATACTAGAATATTTGTTATAAAAACTGGAAATATCATAGTTGTAAAAATTGACATTATTTTGATAATTTACTGTTAACCGTGGATTATGTTTGCAAATTGTATGGGTTATTTTCAGCCAACACAGAAGTCAAACATGGTACTTTCTCTATCATATTTTTTTAAAATCATCCCTTATTCTCAAATCCTATTTTAGAGATAATTATGACATTTCTAACTGAGAACACATTATACCTGGGGAACGAGCATAGATAACATTCACAAGATAATGAAGAAACATTTTCTCCCTGTTTTTTTTTTTCCTCCCAATGACAAATTACATACTTTACAGCAGTATGTCACTTTAAGCCTTAAGCATGTTTTTTTTTGTCCACATCAAACATGACACAGCTATTTTTCTTTATTAATTTATAATAATTAAACATTTTAGTTACAAGCATTATCCATAATGCTGGTACCAACATGTTCATCAAATTAGCTAGAAGGTAATATTTTTGTCACTTTATTGTACAAAATTATAACATTTTTATGACAAATTATTACCCCATTGCTGCTGAAATCTAAAAACCTGAAATTGTCCTTGATTAAATAAAACCAAATAAAAGTTTTTCTTGTTTGTGTAAATTGTGTGTTAAAGTTCTACACACAGTGTCGATCACTTTAGGTTTGGTCAGAGTAATGACATTAGATTACAAACAAGAAACTTCATATAAGATGCAAACAATATTCTCCTCTTGATTGACACTTTTTCTGTATTTTTTACTTTTGTAAATGCCTCACAGATGATGGAAATGATGTCATTGGAGAACTTTTATTTCCAGTTTAATTAGTTATGCTAACAATGGCTGAAAACTTTCTTGTTAGTTAAATTTTGTTTGTCCATTTAGGACCAGAGTATTAAGAATTCAACCTGTGTTACAAACTGTTGTACAAAAATACATTTCATTGTATTTCACAGAACTTAAAGCAAACCTTATGTGCAACCTCTTTGCTGGCTGGGCCACATTTTAGTCAAGCCAGCAATAAAAAAGGGTGTGGGGGTTAGAGGGAGTGAGTTGGGGGACTGAAGCAATCAATCCTGGAAAAACTCCAACACGGACTTGCTTTCCACTCTTAATTACATGAAAGGGCTAAGGCAATACAGTGATATATTCAAGTGATATTGATGTGCAAGTACAGGCCTGTTAGGGAGATGGATACATTGAGTCAACAAGTGTCAAGTGTTTGTGTATAAAATCACCTCTTCTTTCCGCTGCATGCTGTCCTCATCTTCCGGCTTACTTAACAGGCTTATTTAACGCCTGCCCCCTTTATGCTCCATACCCCAGCAATTATTTTTTGTCCAATAGGGAAAAAAAACTGGAGTAGAAAGAGGAAAAGAGAGCAGAACATGAAAGAAAAGAAGAGTGAGAATCAGTGCAGCAGGACTGGTTGAGTGTTTTGAGTTTGTTTGGAGAAAAGGGACTGGGATGAGGCAAGAGCCTGTTCTCTGACGTCAATAGACTGTTCCCTGGGCAGCATGCCAGCCAAGTGTGTGTGTGTGTGTGTGTTTATGTGGATGTGTGTGTGATCCCTGCACACAAACTGGTCCAGTCCAATCATGACCTGCACATCAAGGTTGAGTTCTCTGACGACAGCGACGGGGACAGCTGCCACAACAAGATTACAAGAGTCACCCCTCCGCAGTTCCTGCGATCTCCCTGCGTCTCTCCCTCGTGCCCCTTAGCTCAGTTTTTCTGGGTTCAAACAAGGTGACCTTAAAAATGAAATTACAAGCAGGCAGAAGGATTCTGTCACAAGGTTCAGAATAAACAGTCGCTGTGGTCCAGAAACGCATTTGCCTTTAATTACTTCTTAGGAGTCTTTCTTCGCATATTATGTCTTTTTGGAGGATGTGTTGAGCACGTCCTCAAATGTTTCATATAAACAGAATGAAGTATGTAACTGCTAAGATTCTTGAATCTGCTGCATAAGCTACACCCTGTTCTAGTTTTCCCAACTTTACCTTCTGGGAGTTCTCCATGTTCCGACTCTAGTCTGCCCTCTAGTGGCCTCTTGTAGTAAAAGGGTGAAGCACACACAGAGAGTGTTGATCGAACCCGGGTCCACGAGTCTGGGGTTATAACGGAAGTATATTTCTGGGTCTGGTTCAGAGTACAGATCAGGTTTATCTCTGTCTGGTTAATGTTAGTTTTATGTTTATTTAAACTCAAGGTCTCTTATGTTGTTTTTGAGCTTAGACTCATCGATCAGTTATTTTTGGAATGAAAGATTACTTTTGGACACAAAGTTGTGGAATATATTTTCTTCATGCAATTTTATTTCAGAAATCCACTTTTTAAAGGTTTTTCTATTGTTGCCCCTCAGATATTTTGGGATTTTTTTTAGGTGTAGCAGGTTTAGTTCAGGTGCCCTTAGAGGGGCGGTATTGTGTCAAATCGTCTTTTCCGAGCTTTTCATCATGTACAACATGTAGTGTTGTTTTGATTCTTTCTTGCATGTTTGAGAAATCTTTTCATCTCCTGTGGCAACCATTCAGCTGTGCAAAATGCCTGGTGGCCCGAGCGCCGCCTTCAAGGATGAAATTCCTCCAATGCGGTTTGCAAACCTCCCAGCCTCCACCTCACAGAGCATCCCTTTCCTGTGACTCTCCCACTCAGGTCCTTCAGACTAGCCAGCATCAATTAGCAAACATCTGGTGGAACATCTGCTGAGCTTGTTACACAAGCAACCTCTCAGTATAATGCTGGTAAAAACATTGTTAAAGGCTTTATAGAGGAGCCATGTTGTGATGACTTCATGAAGGCAGAGTTTCAGAAAGAACAAGAGTTTCTTAAGGAGACAGAGTCTCAATTTCAAAGTGTAAAATAGTTACTTGATTATGCCATAAAAGGCACTATGTGGCTGGAAAACTCATATCACTGTAAGATCCAAATTTCATCTCTCTTGTCTCCTCGTTCTCCAGATCATGTCCAAGCCTGGCGATCCGGTGTCAGCTGCCAGCTCTGGAGCCTCTGTGCTGGGTAGGCAGCACCAGAGTCACCCAGAGGAGACGGAAGAGGAGCTCAGGGAGCACCAGGGACTCACCTCATCCTCGTCATCATCATCCACTTCGTCTGGGCCGGAAACGGGGTTGATACGGGGTCTGGTCATCAAGCAGGAACCGCCAGACCTCCAAGAGCAAGAAGAGAGGGAACAACGGGACCAGAGAGAGAGACAGGCTGAGCAGGACTTCATGTTCAAACAAGTAAGATGGAAAACTAAGAAGACAGAACATCACAAATCATTTAAAATGTTTCTGTCTGAATTTATTTGAAAGTGATCATAGTTCAAAGTAGTCAGTGTCTCATTACATGAAGCATATGGTTGATTTTAGTTGCAAAAGGAATGAATTAGATATGATTATGAACAGCTGGTTTTGTTTTTAGATTCAGAGTTTGATTCAGTAGTTGGTTGATTTGACTGGATCCCTCAAGAAGTGACAAACTGTTCTAAGGAAGATCTACGGTATTTCAAAAGAGCCCTAGATGTTCTATGACTACCAGTTTAGTTGAGTTCAGTGGGCCCCTGGATCCCAGTGGTTGTGGACCACAACTAACTCCAAAAATCTAAAATACATACTTAAGACCTCCTCTAAAATCTTGTAACTTATAACTGCCTACTAAAATATATTGGTGCATAGAGTGGAAACCATCTTAACTCTGCCACAGAATCTAACATCTCCGTTCTTCCATATCTCTGCTTTTGGGGTTTCAGGTAATCGGCACCAAGGAAAATCAATAACGTTTGTTCATTGAATGCTTTGCAAACTCCATCCAATGGCGCGTCGAGTAGCATTACACTGACGTATTTCAGCTTCCCAAGCCGCATTTTCTTTCAAGTATCTTTTCACTTTATGGGGAAAAAAAGGTGAATAGGTGAACCATTTGGAAATAATTTGGTTATGTTCCACATAAAAAAACATGAATGCTGAATAACAGTTTCCACACATATTTCAAAGCTATTATACGTTGCATCACCTTATCAAAGAGTTTAATTCATGACAAACTGTCGGATGATTCATTTCAGAAGAGTTTTATAACTTCAAACCTCTTTCAAAACACTAAATATGGTGAGCTGGAAAAATAAACCAATCTTTATTTCAATAGCCCAACTTGAACAAATAAGTAAAACCCGAGGTGCATTAAAGTAAGCCGGAAAATACAAGAATAAAAACAAACCATTCCCACCGCCACCACAACTGATCACCCACAAAATCACACCCAGAGACCTCAGATGAAAACACTGTGTGCTGAAGTGTGTGATCTCAAACTGCACCTGTAGACATTATGTTAAAATGACCCTAATCCCAAATAATTCTGAAAACAAAACATAACAGGTATGATAAATTTCACAGAATTAGTTAAATGCTTGAAACATAAATGTATTAACTTAGTTATAAATAACGGGAACATAGTAATAAATAATAATATGTAAATAAAAGTATTGGCTAACATCTGAGATTAATAACTAAATATCCAAAAGTTACTACAAAAATAAAAGTAAACATAGTGATTACAGGAAAACTACTAACTAAAAAAGAATGTGGCGTAAAATAAGTTAAGTCCAAGGATGTTTTAAACTAAATCCTGAATAAATAATGTTTATCTTTTTATTGAATTTTTACTGAAAATAAAACCTGTTTTCAATATTTATACTTTTTACATAGCTTTTTTGTTTTTTTTACAAACTTCTTGGTTGAATGAAAAGAACAACTCTAAATCTGCCAGGCTTGTGAATAATTTCTCCTTTGCATATAAATAAATTAAACTGCCCCCACCTTGTCCTCATAAAGACCATGGAGGAGCTAAAAGACGCATTTATTTAGGTTTTTCTCCTATATTTCAAGAATTACTAAAAAAAAAAAAAAACTGTATCTGTTGATCTCCAGCGTTCCTCTTTCATTCTTCCACCAACTTTTAATTGCAGCATTCTTCTGACCCAAACAAGCGATGGTGTGAACATTCTTTAGAGCTCGTGAACATGGTGGCTTGTTTTATTATGGAAAATCTCACCGATATAAGCAAGGCACATTCCATCTGATGAGATATTTTATTGCTTTTTACCATACGTTTAGCAACATTAATTCTGCTGAAGTACACAGAAACAGCTAATTGTGCATGCCGGGAAACTAAGATAGTAAAATTACCACACATTACGCTTAGGTTGGTCTCAGACTTAAGCAAGTTTGGAATATAAATACTCGCCACCCACACAAAACACTTTTTTACCCAACCATTAAGGTTTCCCTCTCAGCATTGTTTGTTCTCGGATCTCTCAACGTACGCTGCTAATCTCCGTATTACTCTGTCTGTTTGTGACCGCGCTCCCAGGCAATCAAGACAGGGCGTCCTCATCGGTCCAGCCCATCCCTGTTTCTGCTCAGCCAAATTCAATCAGGCACTCCTCTCACTGTCACCATGGCGCCCGTGGAGTAGTGCAGGCAGACACACCCATCAGTGCGATGCAGCACTTAGGCTCAGTAAGAGCGAAAAATGGGAACTAAAATGTGTGCATGAGGTGAATCTCGATACTTTTTAAACACTTTGATCCAAAGCTGTCAAATGTTTGATTGATGGCAACTTAATGCAATTTCTTTGGTATGCGTTCACACTCTCAGTGAAAATGGGTATAGATTTTGCTTGTATGCGAAGCCAAAAACTTATTTGATGAAAATGAAATCCACGTTTTCTGTGCAATATTACATGGAAGAAGTGGAGGTGTTTGGTGCCATCTTCTGGTATCAGAAAAGTATTGCAGTCCAGCTGTTGTTCAGAGGCTTAACGGCTGTGTGTTTGTGTGTGAGAGCAGCAGGCGATGCTGTTGGAGCAGCAGCGGATCCACCAGCTGCGCAGCTACCGAGCCTCCATGGAAGCGGCCGGGTTACCGGTCAGCATCGCTGCTCACCGCCCTCTGTCCCGGACGCAGTCATCCCCAGCCTCCGCTTCCTTCCCCATTGTCGTCCCGGAGCCTCCAGTGAAGCACCGATTCACCACAGGTCAGTGGGAACACACAGTTACACCCAGAGGCAGGTGGAAGCAACACAAATTAAAAATAATGTGTTTACCTTCAAGTGTACAAAAACACGAACGGTTTCACTGTAATTAGTGCATATTTCTGCTTCCACACAATATGACTGAGAATAACAGTCAAGTGATACTTATCAACAACCACCTCTGTGGAAAAATTTAAGAAAATTACAAATTCATGCCAACATGTTTTTGTAAACTTAAGGCTCAGGTTAGATTTTCTCAGAACCTGTTAAACCCAGAAGATTTTTTTGTGTGTGTTCTGATGAGCATTACTTCATTGATATCATTAATGGAGAGTATTTTACGGTTTTTATCCGTGTTCCAGGTCTAGTGTATGACTCCTTGATGCAGAAACATCAGTGTATCTGCGGCAACGCCACCATTCATCCCGAGCATGCCGGCCGTATTCAGAGCATCTGGTCCCGGCTGCAGGAAACAGGCCTGAGGGCTCAGTGTGAGGTGAGGCCACACTTACATTCAGCAGAATCACCAATATGTTATTACATAAGCAAAGAAATGTTAAAATATCCTAAAAAAATTATAGCTTTGATGTTTTCTAATTTGGTTTCAATCTGAATTGATATCAAACTTGATGTTTTGGTTTAAATTGGTGGCTCAGGTCCATAATGGTCAAAGTGATCGAAATATGATGGAAAAAAAACTGAATGAATGAAATAAATCTTAAAAATTGCTATTAATTCATTTATTTTAAAAAATGAAATCTTATTTTAATCGGTGAGAAGAAAATGTTCAGCTATTTTTCAGTTTGATTAATTTTGGCATATCTGTGTTCAAATCTGGAATAAAATTAGTTTTCAGAATCATTAAAAACTGATTCAGTTGGAAGAAGTGGGTCCAATTTTGTCCTGAAAAAGTAGAAAACAGTCTTTAAATATTCCAAATGGGAACTCCTCCTTCAAATTATTGAGTTTAATTACTTAAAACTTATGTTCTTAATTAGCCTGTTTTTTTTGTTATTTTACAACTTAGCATACACATGTATGTATTTTACCATAGAAAAATTAATACATTTTTAGGTTATTTGTTTTAACATAAAAAGATAAGGATGGTTTTTGTTTCACACAGTTTCTGAATAGACTGTGTAAAAAATAGTTTGTAACCCTGAACAAAGTTCATCACATTCATAATGTTTTTTTCTTGTTGTTTTTAAAAGTCATGTTGATTCTCAAACAGACAAAAAAAAGAAAAGCTAAAGGCCAAATGTATTTCTTGTGCTTGTCCGATTTTTCTTTGCTGTTGCAGCTTTTTGCCAGTAGAGGGCAGTGCTAATCTGGTTATCTGACATTTGGCTTTAATCAGACTACCTCAACTTAAACACTTTAAAGTTAAGGTTGTAATCATATCACTCTGAGTGCCTCATACAATTTAGTCTTCCTATATCTATACATATTTGATTAATTGAAGAAATTGAAGCTGAGGTGATCTGCTTCCTGTCAAAAATCAGAGGCTCTGTGTCCAAACTCGATTCCTCCTCTGGTTTCAGTGTATCCGTGGAAGGAAGGCGTCACAGGAGGAGCTGCAGACGGTCCACTCTGAGCCCCACGTCCAGCTGTACGGAACCAACCCGCTGAGACAGAAACTAGACTGTAAGACATGCATCCTCACCAGTGCATCCAAACTGACCCACATGCTGAACCTAAACCTGCAGGTTTAACCTTTGATTAGTCCACTTACTGGATAAGTTGTGTCTCTAAATCAAAACGATTTCTTGTTATTGTATTTAAGTGTAACATTTATTTAATAAACAGTCAACCATCATGTCCTGTAACTTTGTCACATAGATGATTTTATACCTCCACTTGTTGTAAATGTTATTAATCTGTGACATCTGCTAAAGGAATCTATTTTAATGCTTAAACCGTTCTGAGGCAAAAGGCCCAATCTAATAAAGTGGTGGAGGTGTGACGATAAAGTCGGGACCCTTAAAGGCTGTTAAATGGAAAGTCACATAAGCTGCTTTGTCACTTAGATCTGGACTTAACGTGCAGATGGAGCCAAGGAACTTGGTGTGTGTGCGTGCGTGTGTGTGTGTGTGTGTGCGTGTGCGTGCGTGTGTGTGTGTGTGTGTGTGTGTTAGGGTGTACATTTATAATCCCCAAAATGATGGGGCAGATCCCAGTGGTGATCTTAGCTTCCATACCAAAAGAGAGTTAAGATCTGGGTTTAATGGAAAAGATAGAAATGCAAATGCTGTGATTAAAATGACACGGTCTGCAGAAAACAGGCTGATTTTGGACAACAAAAGGTAAAAGTATAAAAGTACCTTCCAATTATGATCTTAAATACCTAATGGTAATAGAGTTGTGTAAAAAAACATAAAATAAATGTTTTGTTTTTTGCAGTAGTATAATCTCACCATTAAAAATGTAAAAAAAAAAAAATGAACCTTTAAATGAGTACATTTAATCAGTGGGGATAAATCCCTCTTTAATTAATTAATATGTTTTATTCTAATTAACTGACAGGACACTGACTGGAACTCTTAAAGGTTGATGTAAAATATTAGTAAATGTTTTCTTTTTTTGGTTATATGTTACTTTTTTAAGTTGATTAGAGTATCAAGAAACTTCAAAGTCGTACATGATTTTCTGCTTTTAGTATAAATGTGACATAAACAAAAGGGGAAATACAAGAAAATAGGATATTTTAGTCTATTAGGAAGTGACTGAAACTTCCAAGGCTCTTTAGCTTGTCCTTATCAACAGACACAGCAACTCTGTAAAGTTTCAAACCCAACACTCAAAGTGGGTCTGGTATACAGAAAAGAACAATTAAGATGAAAAGCACATGATGCACATTCTCAAGAAATGATCAGGTCACTTTAAGTAGTTGTCTTTCTGATTCTATGAAAAGACTGATGATTGTTCATCACTGGGTCTTTTACTGAGCTTTTCAGCAGAATAATAATTCTAAATATATTTATAAATCACTTCAGAAATGCTGCAGTGAAACAAAATCCCTGGTTTTCTGTTGTCATCTCAGCCTGCGAACTTAAATCATGTAGAAAACCTGCAGGGCGAGAAGACCAAGGCTCTGGATGATCTAGAGATTACATGTATTTGCCCCCTGGCTTTAAATTACATGTCAGCTTCTTAAGTGTAAGTTAATCGGTTCTGCATTAAAAGTGAATTTAATTTTATACACCATTATTATTCGTGCCAGGAAGTGTGGAAGGGAAGTTTTGCAGAAAAACTGACATACAGAATCAGGGTTGTTGAAAGAAACTGTCGTCGTCCCAAATGTTTCTTTGGAGTACAAGTAAATTAGCCGGCTAATCTTTGTTTATTGACCTTCAGTGGCAGAACAGAACCCGTTCTGGCCTTCTCCCTGAGGAGACCGTTGATTGTGAGGTCAATGAGATCTTTTTTTCTTGTCCTGTTCAAATTAAAGCATCCCCCCCTTGTGTACTCTTGCTGTTAGATAAGGTCAGAAAGTCAAATGTGAAGTTTTAGTGGGTCATGTGCTCATTTGGGCCTTCGTGGCCCCAAAGTTTTTCCTTTCACCTGCTGACCTTTTACCCCCCGTCTCAATTCTTAAATGTATTTCTTCTCCTTCAGGTGCCGTGAATCCCATGTTTGTGAGGTTACCATGCGGAGGCATTGGGGTAGGTGACTCATTTTTGCTTGTGAAAAATAGATTTTACAAACATTCGCTGTCTAGTTAAAGCATTTTTAACTCATGTGGGCGATCTTTCTCGAAAACCTGGGTTTTTATAAGCCATGCTGCTTGACTTAGAGGAAAAGCTGTCATGTTTGTAATCATCTAATCGCCAATCATCAAGTGCTTGTTTGACTTCGTTGGAAGTAGTTTCAGTATCGAGGCGGTATTAGTGAAACAACAGAGCGGCGGTCGCCCACGCTCTCCGAATCGGCCCACGGATTCAGAAACGCTCCCATTTCTCTTACAAACTCACACACACAAACACACATAAAACCACCGCCCCTCAAGGACTAGAGGCAAACAAAAGCTGTTGCTTGCCTTTCCGCTGCGCTTAAAATTATAACCAGATGTTCTTTCTTTCTTTGTGTGTGTGCTGGTGGAGGCGGTGATTGTGTTTTTCTGGATGTTTGTGTGCTCTCCTGGTGATCTTGGTGCCCATTTACATCTCTGAGAGCTCCCTTCCATACCCGACGTAATCACAGCTGGGTATTTGCTGGTGTTTTTCACACGGTTAATAATTTTAAGGCCAATCAAGCCCGAGCGTACCTCCAGGTTATCTCTTCCTAAATTTGACTTCCTCTCTACTTTGGGAGGAAAAAGGGAGCTGGAGTGCGGCGCAGATCTGCTCTTTATAATGGCAAATGGGACCAAATTGTTGTCTTCCTGTTATACAAGTTATACACACAAATACACACATGCTTACAGAGGAAGGAGGGGGTGTCTGAAATTAGACTTTCAGCTTGTGGAGATTCGTCGTTTCATTATTCCAGCACATTCCCGCTCCTTCATGGCTCTGACAAATCTTCCCATTTCAGTTTTTTTTTTTTTTTTTTTTTCTGCAGTTATTCTCTTAATTCCCTGCTGAAGGCAACATCAACACGGGAAACAATAAATTGTCTGCACCATTCAGCTTCAGTACAGCATCATTACTCTGATTTGTGTTTTAAATTCACTTCCCTTTTTACTCACTTTGTTTTTCACTCTGTCATTGTCTGGACTAATAACACACACAGACATCCTGCTTCCATAGGCTTGAAGAGGGAAGCGAAGAGTCAGGTGCTGCTGTTTGAATGCATGTGAATAATTGGTCGTCAGTTCAGAGCAACTCTATAAAAGCAGGAGTTTTGGTGCTTTTCTGCTCTGGAGCTTACAGCTGAGGGTGGACACAACGCCAAGAGGGAAAGATATCAATCTGGAAAAGCTTAGGAGGTTATTTCCAAATACAGTTGCCAGGAAGGGCATAGCAACACATCCGACTCATGACAAGAGATCGATATGGAGTTTGTGTGAATTAGACAAAATGGAAAACCAGGAATCCAAATATTTTCCTCAACATAAAAGTTTCACAGGTAACAAATCACCAATGACAAATCACTTTCAATTTCTGTTCAGTGTAAAATTACCCAGTTCAGGTTTTAACGGTGTAGGAATTGTTGATTTTGCACCATAAAGTATCAAGTACAGAACAAACTTCTTCGACTGAATTTAAAAAGCTTTTTAATTTAGCTCCAATAGTGCAACACTAAGAGAAATGCATAGAATCGACACATAGAGTATAATTATCAGAACAATGTCTGGACAATTGATAATGTAATGCATCAATAGACTATTTCTTTAGGACTGGAACGGCCTTATGGACTAACCTATGGATGTGATTTTGTTGACATGTCATTGCACCGTATCCATCTTATCATCACTGTGAATTTAATGCCATTATCTCCGGATAATACCGTTTACTCTCCAGTGACCATGTTGTGACCAGTCCCATTCTTCTAAGAAATGAAAAGAATCACCAGGCTCCCATCTTCCTTACATAAATGAATCAACAAAGTTTTTATATCTTAACAATACAAAACACAGCATATCAGCGCAAGCAGCCTGTATAAACTGTCAAGTGGGTGTTGAAGTGCTAATGCTTTGGGTTTATGTCGGAGCCACCAGACCTCAGCTCCTTGCATTTATTGAGTCGACCAAAGATTCTAGACTCAAATGAGATTTTATCTTTCAAATAGCTAAAGCTTTGCTGCTTTGGAGTCATGCAGACAATGACACAGTGATGTATGAGCAACAGTTGACCAAAATTAATCTTCAACCATTTAAGAGCTGGCAGTCGAAGGCCTTTAAACTTACCTAATTGTTCTCATGGGCATAATGTTTCATTCACTTTTGTAGACATTAGATTCTCCCCAGCAGTTCCAATCTCTCGCTTCTTTCTGTTTTTGTTTCTTTAGACTTCAAGCAAAGGCTTTGCAGTTTTATTTCATGATGGAGTCTTTCTTGGCTCTTGCTGTGGATGTTATTATGGAGCAATCATCCACGCTTGACGAGTCCCGTCACTGGAGAAAGGAGGAAAGACGGACCAGCCGGCTTAAATGCTGTCCGCTGATTGGTTGTTGGACTAAGTAGTTGAATCAACGGCAAAGACTCATGTTCAGCTACATCTATCAACTGACAGGTTTAAACTAACATAGTGAGTTTAGAAGAGCTGACATTGGTTGGTCTTCCCAGATCTCCTCCTTCAGCCACTCTGCACATGTGTGACACAAAGACCTCCTGTTTTCTTCTTTTCCTCTGCCAGCGTCTTCTCTCTGTGTTTATCACACGCTCCATCTGCCCGCACTATCTGCCATGACTGATGGAGGGAGTATATATTATCCTCTGTGCAGCCCTGTGTACAATCAATCACCGAACGCATTGTGCTCCACTTGGCTTGAGAAGCGAGCGTGTGTACATGCGTGCATATGGGGGCTGAGGGCCAGACGTGCCTCAGCATTAATCAGCCCTGACCTCTGCATGGTGAACCTGAGGCTTAGCATCCTCCAACACAAACACACAAACGTGCTGCACGAACAATCAAGCTGGAGGACTTTTTTTTTTTTCTTTCCAAACATAAAAAACCAAAACAAATAACTGCATCATTTTACAGCGGCTCTTATAATTACGCTCTCTATACAGTTGTAGTAAGTGGCGATGCCAGGCACTCTGTAAATTAAGGACAATATCTCTTATAGCAGTAACAGACAGACTTATTTTGTTATTTAGCTCACTGTGCAGTGTTACATTATGGCTATGAGTTATTGCCTTCAATTAAAACTCTGCAAGTGCCTGAATAAGCTTCTAAATATATGTTTATGAGTATATTGTTCATTGTATTCTCCCAATAAATGCATGTTCCAGTTTCTCCAGAGCAGACACACTGCAGGACTAAATGCAATCCTTAAATATGACGTAAAATAAGTGATTTTAAATGTGTTTTCAGTTGTTATGAGTTTGCGTCCTGAAGTGTTTGGGTATATGTGTAAAATACCCTTATTATATATTTATGTGTTTCTACAAGCCTTGGATATACAAGTCGGACCCCCAGTATTCACGGGACCATAACCTCCTGTGAAACACTCCAGACCTCCTCTAAAAATGCTTATGATTTTGTATTTTAACAATTCAAATACCACATATAACTAAATATGCATCTCAGCACCATCACAGAAACTAACAGTCACAGTTGAACTTATCACCGCTCTTGGGGGTTCAGCCAATCAGCACCAAGGAACATGAATAATGATCCTGGCTTCTTTGTAAATAACAACCAATAACGTATCAAGTAGCATCGAGAGCATAGATTCATATTTCAGCTTTTCAAGTTAGAATTTATTTTGAATATTGTAGATATGTTCTAGAAAAAAATGTAGGTAATTTTTTCCACAAACAATTTGGACTTATATTTGACAGAAAAATATAAAGTAAATCCGCAAAAAATAAACTGCATGAAACACGGTGGTTCCACTATATGCTACTCTCTTGATAGAGCAAGTGTGTATGTGTGTTTGCAGGTTACAGTTAGTTTATTATCCATGTGCTTGTTCTTACATTGCTAATCCAATTGAATGTAAAATTTTCTGTCATTCAAATCTTATTTTCTGTTTAGCATTTTTACAGCTAACAGATTTAAAGTCTGACCTCTGCAGAAATATGGACAATAAATTAATGTCCTTTATATTTATACTGAAAATCAAATGATAAATACGGAAGTTTGAACTGGATAAAGTGTGGAACTTTGAAATGAAACCCCCGGTATTCTTTTTCTCCTGTTAAAACGTCGTTTAAACAACAAATATTTTTTGTATTTGTGTGTTTGCAGGTGGACAGCGACACAATCTGGAATGAGATCCATTCGTCTACGGCTGCTCGACTGGCCGTCGGCTCAGTGGTGGAGCTGGTTTTCAAAGTAGCAACAGGAGAGCTGAAGGTGTGTTTAGAGTCAACTTCAACCTGACTGCTTGCTGACGCTGGGCGTCACAATGGTTGGTTTTCAGAGCGGGGTTTAGTAGTCTCTGTATGTAAGGAAGAAGAAAATTGGGCATAAAGCAAAGTTTGTTGAGATTTCTTAAAAGTGAGAAACCAAATTAAATGTTATAAATTTGCATCATGCCCATGGGAACCTGGTCCCAGAATCTTTTCAGAAACAATGCTGCACCCCGTCACACCTTTGCTTCATCATTAGCACCTTCCAGACAGACATCCCCACCCTGCGATGCTGCACCCCCTCCCAGCCAGCCTCCATGCGTCTTCGGGAGGGGCTGTTTGAACGCAGCGGGGAGACTCGCGCTCAGGCTCTGCAAACGCCAGCAGGCCCCACTAACAGGCCTCCTTTATTAGTCTTACACCAAGGCCACCTGCGGAGCAGCTGACGCACAGGGTGTTAACTTAGCACCAACACACCGCAGACTAATGACATTCCTTAGAGTGAGACAGTAGCACGCCATGCGGATACCCACACAGTTCGTTCCCTGGGACTGAGATCATTCAGACATCGCCTTGATCCATGCTTCTGCTCGATTCTTGATGGTATCTGACTGAAATGAAAGGAGAAGTTGTGTTTTGCTTGAAAGGGAAACGGCTACATTTTTAAGTTCCCGGGTATAGACTTGGCAAACTGTCAAACTTGTGCGCACACATTCCCACTTAAGTTTCCCTCAGAGGATCCTCCACTACCAAATTAATGACCAAGTTCCACCTGCACCAACAGCTTCTCAGAGAGCACACACACTCTCTCCAGCCTTCACACACGTCTTTTTCTGTCAATAGTCATTCTCCTGTCTTGACTTGGCAGTGGGAAGGAACCCCCTTCTGTCTCATCATTGCGCTTACTCTCACTTTCATGCAAATGGTAAAATGTCCTGAAACCAGCTGAGGCTCTTGTCACCTCAGTAATCATCCGGCTGGTTGCTAATGCGCAGCAGCTGACTCAACATCATTAGTCCAGCTTGCATCGTTCTGCATCAGCCCAGACGTCTATCTACTGTCCCCCGTAAGCAATGCAAGGCTCCTAGATCAGTTGATGTGAGTGCTGCATCCAAAATCTGACCCAAATCAGCCTGTGTTGCATTATGTGTGTGTGTGTGCACACATTTCTCCTCTCTGATTCGAGGTCAGGATCAAACTCGTCACTTCCTGACCTCCTTGCTTTTGCTTTCAGAACGGTTTTGCTGTAGTTCGGCCACCCGGACACCACGCTGAGGAGAGCACACCTATGTGAGTAGTTTTCAGATTATATAAGAGTTTGATTTCAGATTTTAAATATGATAACACCGTTTTGTTTTTATTTTGTAGGGGCTTCTGTTACTTCAACTCTGTCGCCATTGCAGCCAAGCTCCTGCAGCAGAGGCTTAATGTCAGCAAAATCCTCATAGTTGACTGGGTGAGTCAAATTAAACTGGCCTCATTTTTGTTCCACGTTTGATTTACAGAATCACACCAGTTTAAAAATACTCGGCAGCTGCCTACCTTCTTTTTTAGTCATGCATTTTGCAAAAAACGTTTCTGCCAAAAGTTGCTGAATTGATGACACTCCATGTGAAACTTAGGCATCCTATTGGCCAATAAGAATCAAAGGAGTGGAAGCAAACTGTCCAGGTTGTGTGTGTGTTCATAAGTGAAAGATTTATGTGGGGAAGACCAGGAAGGCAGGAGAAATGTCTGAGACCTCATAGATCAGCACCCCACCCAGGGATTTAAAAGATATCTGTGGTGTGCTTGATTTACTTGTAATTTTCCATTGTGGTAAATCATGACTTGTGATGAATTTCCGGCAACATTCAAATCACATTTGTTGTCCTGTTAGTACAGGCAACAATTTTTCAACAGAATAATTGCACAAAAATCCACCAGCAGTGAAGAAAGATAGCTAAAAATTATATATTTTTTTTCAAATAACTTCTCTTTGTTTTACTTGTCACATTTGTGAATTAATGAGGATTAAATGTAACACGCTTTCTTACCTGATACGATTCCTGCTTTATTACAATTGCTGCTTGTTAACCTCTTTAATTATCTGTCATGAACGTCCCTCATTCTTGGGTTGTAAATGTGTGAGAAGCTGGATCTTTGGGGAAAATAAGAGTATTAACCCATTTTATATGTTATAGTTAAATCTTCTTATTAAAAATACAATTTATCAGCAAATAGTCCAATGTTTTCACTTTGCTCCATCTCAAAAATGTCCCATTCTTACAGGAAACCATGGAAGGGCACATTGTCAATTACTGGCAGTACTGTTGAAATATGTACTGTGGCTTTTTAAGCTTTTAGATATAAAGAAATATCCACTTGGTGAATGCCACCAAATAACATTTGGTGTTTAGTTCCAATGGGACAGCTTTACTTACCGTTTCATTTCACGTCTCATGATTTGTAGGTACATTTTCCACCACTTTTTGTAAATTTATCTCAACACTACAGAAAAATAAATTGAACCTTCACTTCCTGTACGCTCTTCAGGTCAGATCCTCTCCTTTCAGTGATCTATACGACAAAGGCCACGTCATGTCCAGGAGCCTTGCTCCCCGGCTGGTTGTGGTTACTCCCTAAAGCCCGTCGAAGGTCCCTTTCATTTCCTCCTTGTCCGTCACAGACGGAGCAGAGTGTCGTCGTCGAGCCACTCTCCTCCAGCTGAAATAACATTTTTTAGACTCTTGTGTTTCAAATCATTCTTAAATTCAACAGATGAGATCATTTAATTGATGCCATGTTGTTAGTGAGAGTAAGCAGCTATTAACGATGAGTGTTTTATTGAGTCTTTTAAGACCGTTTCAAAGCCACAGCTTAGTTGCAGTGTGACATTTACTCTCTCTGTATTCGGTTAGTTCAATGTGACGGAGCCATCACGGGGAAAGTTTGTGAAAACTTTATTTATTCGTTTAGGGTGCCGACACACCTACACCGGGAGTCTGTCAATGCTGGAAGACATTTCTCTGAAATCACCACAAACCATCCAGTGTGCACAAAAACCTCTAATTTACTCCCATTACATTTAAACTCTGAATTTTCCCTTCAAAACTGTTGGTAAAAGATTTATTTAAGCTGTCTGATCTCCAACATAATAAACTACAGATAAAAACAACAAAAAATTCAGCCTCTTATAATTTAAGAATGGTTTCTGGATGTTATGGTTTGTGTCAGAGTAACTAGTCATTTTAGACTTAGTCTTTTGTTTTTGTTTTGTTTCTGCCTGACTAATAAAGCGTGTTGTGCAATGTTATCCTGTAATAACTAATCCCGGAAAAGGGCGGGAACTACCATGGCAACCGTTAAATAGGTTCCTTGAGCCACACTTGAATTGAGCCCTGGTGAAGTTGTTTAAACAATCTCAACATAAATAGATGTTTTTTTTAAACTTTATTTTTATATAAAGAAGTTAATTCACAGTTCAAGGCTTTATATAAACAAACGTTCTGGAGTTTATACAGTCTAACAACTTTCCCAGGGTCTTTTGAATATAAATAAGCCCACATCCTTTTAGATCCACCGTACATACATGATTTTATATGGTCATCCTGAGTCGACTGTTATTGTTATTAATCATTTAATGGTGGTTTATTATATAATTCACTCCAGTTATGATGCTTTTTAACATCATTCATTATGTTGCCTGGTCCCATTTAAATAAATGAATCAAAGCATTAATGGTTGATTAGTGATGCATCGATCCACTCTTTTCACTTCCGATACTGATACAGATTTTTAAGGTTTCGTACCAGTTCATACCGATCCGATACAGGAAAACAGTGCTGAATTGACTAAAAATGTTTTTTTAAACACAGATATAATAGTACTAAATTACAAATTTATTTAAACTTCACCAGTATAGCTCACTTAAATAAAGCAGTAGTTCCATAATCTTGGTCAAACATGCAAAAACAAGACAACTTTAATTTGTCCAGGCGGTGCCATTATGAATGTAACAGCCAGTATAAAAGAAATAATAAAGAAACTGAAACTGATGAAAACAAATGGTTGACTACCTTGTTCAAACATGTCACAATAAACTGCAGCAAACCTTTCAAATGATTCGGAAAGTACAAATAGGAATTCTAAATATAATGTAAAATAGAAGATAAAACGTGATGTTGCTCAAAGCACAAAGCACAGAATTACACTGAATAGATCTTCGCTTATGGATCGAGCACCAATACTCGATGTAGAATTTTTTTTTACAATATCGAGACTGATACTGATGTCATTATCAGATTGGTGCATCTCTAGTTTGGGCATTTTAAAATATACATTATGAGATTATGATGCTATAGTCAAAGATTATTTTAACTGATGTATTTTGAGTTCTTTTTCACAGCCTAAATAAAGGTGTCAATCAGTATGCAGAATGCCATATCACTACAGTTACTGTATGTCATCTCATAATGATGATTTTATTTTCAAAAATGTGTTTGCGATTGCTTTAGCCTGCATTCTTTTCTAATCATTTTAGGATGTTCACCATGGCAACGGGACCCAGCAGGCTTTCTACACAGACCCCAGTGTTCTGTACCTCTCTCTACATCGCTATGACGACGGGAACTTCTTCCCTGGCAGCGGCGCTCCAGATGAGGTCCGTCATAATCCTTCATCATCCAATGTTTTATTTATATTTCTGCACATTGAAACATGTTTATGCCTCACAGGTGGGCAGCGGTGCAGGTGTGGGCTTCAACGTGAACATGGCATTTACCGGGGGCCTCGAACCTCCCATGGGGGACGCAGAGTATCTGGCTGCCTTCAGGTAAATCGACATTACCATCAACTTTAGCTGACAGTTGCTTTGATCTTTTCTTTTTTGTGTTTTTTCTTCCTGGATCTATTTCTGAGAAAAACAAAGAAATGCCAGCTGTAGTGTTTTGTATTTTTGGCTCTGGCTTTAAAAAACTGGCCACAAGTTATAAATATATTATCTGCTGGGAGCCGTTGAGTAGGCAGGGGGCTTGTCGTCAAGCCAAACCTCATGGCTTCTATTTGGACTAAATATAAAACTTCTCCCACTCACCCTCAACACTTCCACACATGCCGACACACACCCACTCAGACACACACTGTACATGTCACCTACCCGTTTTGATTCATGCATCTTGAACGCGGCGGGACTGGATCCCTTCCAGGGCTCTTTGAAGATGAGTCCGTGTTCTCAGCTGTGCGTCCATCTGGTCTGAAGCCGGAGCATCAAACTGACCGGCCTGACCGTCTTATCACAGCCGTCGGCACGCAACCTCCAGGAAGCACAGCTCAGCCTCCTAATGCACATCAGAGCTCTGCTTGCTCTCAGTCACCCGCTTGTCTTTTTACTCTTCCCTTTCAGCCCTTCTGTCTGCATGTCAACAGCTGACAAGCAATGTATCTGATCATTTATGTCGGTAACTTGGAACACAAAGCAAAAATAGCTGGTTATCACACTGCAAAAATACAAAATCGTATTCTTGCTCTAGTTTCTGGTACAAACATCTTAGTACATGTGAAGTAAGACAAAACTAACTTACAAGTAAGTTTTCAGCAAGATAGATCAACTTGTTTTAAGTCAATAATTTCCTATTATTGATTTTTTTAAAACGTGCTAGTTTCACTGGCAGATTTTTTTTAAAGTTATAAGAAGACATGTTTCCTATATCATAAGTGACAAAATCAGCCAGTGGAACCTGATAAAAAAAAAAATATATATATATTTATCAATAGGTATTACGGTATTATAGACTTAAAACTTGTAAGTTAATTTTGTCTTATTGTGAGTGTACAGAGATATTTGCACTAGGAACTTTGTGATTTTGCAGTGCGTACATATGCTCAAACAAAATCAGGATCATTTAATAAAATTAGATATGCATTTCTACTAAAGGTTTGGGTTTAAAGTTTGTGCTACAGATGTGTGTTTGTATTATTGTTCACAGTGACTTCAAAAAGTATTCATATTCCTGGAATTTTTTTGCTTTTTTGCATTTTGTCATTTCGCAACTACAAGCTTACAGTTTGTTGCGAAATAGCTCAAAACTGGAAATTGTTTCCAAAGAATCAGAAAAAAGTCTTTCTACTTTACTTTGAGGAAAAGACTGAAGCTGCAGAGATGCTTTTCCTCAGCAGGAAAAATCTGTAAGGGAAGATGGATGGAGCTAAATACAGCAGAAAACTGGAAGAAACCCTGTAAAAGGCTGCAAAAAACTTTACCTTCCAGCAGGACATTGACTCTAAACATACATCCACAGATACAGTGAAATGGTTAAGATGAGATTATAGTTTCATGTTTCAATGGCCCAATCAAAGTACAGACCTAAATCCAGTTGAGAATCTTTGGCAAAACTTAAATACTGATGCTCCTCATCAAGTCCAACTGAGCTTGAAAGAAAAGTTGTAGTGAACAATGATTGAAAATAAAAGCACATAAAATTTAAAATCCCCACAGGAGAGCAGACTAAAGCGGGGTGGATATGTTTGTGATGCTCTGTACAACCACAAACAGAACGCATGATATTTTCAGTCCCATTTTGTTAAAGCAGTGTGTCTTGGTTCTCCCGCCTCTCTCCTCCCACCTCTTTCTGCCGGATGGGGGTGCATGCCCTGCAGCCGGCACCTTTCCATTCCTCCGCTGGCCTGCGCCACGTTGCATTTGCAGGGGATCAAGTGTGAGCCTCCAGAAAGCACAGAGAAAAAAAAAGATAAGAAAATTGGTCCTAATGAAAACCAGAAGCACCGTCTCTCTTTCTCTCTCTCCGTTTTTCTGCCCCCTTCCCCCCCAGTCCCTCTCTTTACCATGAACTTGGAGAGAAGAGAGAGAAGGAGAATTAAAGTTAATTCAGAACAGCTTTCTGCAGCAGCAGATGACAGGACTTTGAAGTGTAAGCGTGCGTGTGTGTGTTTTTCACTTTCTTCATTCTTTCTCTTCTGATTTTTTTCTTCTTTTTTTTTTATGAACGAAGAGGGAAAGCCTTCAACCTCTGCAGTTTAACCTTTTATTTGCCGGTTTGATGCAAATGACTGCATCTACTTGACAGTTTATATTTCCTTCAGACAACATTTCAAAGGGTGGGTGAGTCTGAACGTATCTGATAAAAATAATATGAGACTGTAGCTTCAGTGATGTCATCGTTTTTATCTCCATCTAAACCTAAATCCTACAGAACTAATTTTAGTTGGGGGTTTTTTCTGTCTCATCTAATTAACTAGTAAACATTATCTTTACATTTCTAAGCACAAAAAACAAGCCACAGACAACTATTATTCACCTGTTGCTAGGTAAAGCAAACAACCCCAAACAATAGGTGACGCCGCATATCTGACAAGTGACTCTAATCGCAGTAAAGTCGGATTGGACCCGAGCCGACAGCTCTGAATGTTCTAACCGCTTTTCTCAGGATGTCCCGTCGCTTAAGGCTCAGTCGTAAACTCTCCCCTCCCCTTCATTAACAAACCGTCGTTTTTTCATCTCTGCATACGTAGCCTCTGATTCACGCCCAATTAGTGCTCCTCAGAAACCGCTGGCTTCCTTCTTTGCCAGTCGTCTAATTGTTTACCCCGGCTTTTTATTTCGCTAAATGTCAGGATATTATTCTAGAGTCAGGGGGGGGGGGTGGGGGGGATCGGGGGATGACACCAGGAGTATTTCTCTTCAGAACCAGATCTGTTTCTGTCTGAGCTCAAGGCTGAACGAGGAGGAGGTGTGGAAGCCAATGGTGGTTTAGGTGTCCTTGGTAGTCAAGGTTTCCCTCAACTGCGTCTGTGGCTGACTGCCTTTATTAAGTGTGGGGTCCTTCATGGCTCAGATCCTAATAACCAAGGCTGTGGATTTAAATGGGATGATTATTTTGCACATCTACAGGACTTACATCAGTTTCGTCTGTGTTCTCTTTCCAGATAGTCTATCTCATTGAAATGTATTGATCGTCTCTCTCTAAAATACTGCTACATGCTTGAAGGAGTACAGTGACACTCGCTGCACATATTCCTGCTGTCTGTGACTCCCAAAAACCTTGTAATGCTACCTCTCCTTCAGACAGCTGTGTGCGCGTTAGCTTTCTGTTGTGGTGGGGGATCGAGGGGGCGCGTAGAGCTCAGGGTTATAATTTGGTGGTGAGCAAGAGATGGAAAAGCCTGTGGTCTACGGAGTTCAGGGCGAGCTGCCTGCCCACAGCCAGCTAACCAGCACCATGTTCCTGAGGTCAGCAATGTGCTGGGGACCTACAACAGAACCCTGTGGTACTCCATCAGTCACAGACCTCATCAAAATACTACTTGGCCAAATATCCCAGAGACCTAAATAAAAAATAAAAAAAACGTCAACAATCCCACAGTGATCTGGGGAGAGACACTTGTTTTGCCATCTGGAAAGCCTAGCTGTTTATGAGCCAAATAATACCTGCTAAATGCTGAAGCCACATGCTCCCAAAGGCAGGAAGTGATATAGGCTGGCAGGATGTGGGCCTTGCATAAACTTTTCTAATAATTTCTAGATATCCAATAAACAGGAGCTGTAAAAGCAGTGACAAACTGCTCCTGTTGAAGCTCTGCCCCATTCCACGCCGACACATTTCAACTTCGAGATCGTTTTTTTTCCCAATTGGTGAGAAAATGTTAGACCCATTCTACGTACTCTAGATATCGGATATTGTAGAGAAGACTCTGAGGAAATGCTGGTATGTCCTCATTGGCTCAGACTTATGATTTTGTCTCCAGCCACTCACTTTAACTTTGGCACATTCCAGTGTCTTACTGCAAGAAAGCAGCATGGATGAGGTTATTTGTTATTTGCCAATTGAATAGTCACTTTGCATGTATTCGCTCTTCCCTTATGCCAGTTTTCTGTTTCAACCATCAGAGTACCAAATAGGAGCAAATCATAGTTTGCTCTAATAATCTTTCCAGAGATTAGGAGAAACTAAAAGAGGGTGTGGACTTTGTGAAAGGTTGAAGTTATCCAATTTATTGAATTCAAGATAATCTTCTTTTCAATTTTTACGGTACTGTTACCACAAGTTGGCGCGTCATTCCACTTGGACGCAGATTTAAAACAAAAGCTGTCTAAAAACACTCAAAAATGGAGATTAGATTAACCTTCTTTTGCAAAACTTTCCTGTGCACATAATGCATCCCCTCTTCTTCCAAACAGGATCAGCATACAAACCTCCCTGGACTTTCCAGCCACAATTTGCAGTGAATCATTGCACATTTGCCCCGCTGTTGATCTCATTTACGTCTGAACACGGGGAACCCATGCTAACCAGTTGTTTAGTGAATTAAATTTATATACAAACAGCCGTCAATCACCCCACCCATGCAGTGTTAGATGCATCATACATAATTAGCACGCATATAATTACATCTGTCCTCCTGTTGCTGCTTTTGACTTGACCGTGGGGTTTATTCCTGCCACCAAATTTCCAGAATATCCACTTCAAACAGGACGTGTGGTAATTATTCCTGTCACATTACTGTACGTCCAAACAGACTCTGCGAATGTTTGGTCTGCGGAACCTGTAAATAAAAGAAATGCGTGTCTGCCGAGAGGAGCAAAGGTTTCTGAGTCTTACCAGAAATGTTTTCGCTGTGATGTTCACTGTGGACTTCACCGCAGTTAATACTGAGCTTTCATGGATCCCTGTATTTGTTTTCATATAAAGCTAAAAGCTAAATTTCCATGGGAAGTGAAGCAGAACATTGCAAATTTAGAACTTGCCATTTACTCCAAGCCATCAGATTTTCTTTACAAAACTGTTGTTTGGTTTTGCCTCTGCAGAACGGTGGTGATGCCCATCGCCAACGAGTTCGCTCCAGATGTGGTTCTGGTGTCCTCTGGCTTCGATGCCGTCGACGGACATGCCCCGCCGCTGGGAGGATACAAACTGACAGCCAAATGTAACTATTGATCACAATAATAACTGGTTACTTTACTAAACTCTATTTTTTGTCAACTTAAATCTTAAAACTCTTCTTTGACTACCTTTTTGCGAGGAGACACTTTCTATTTGTAGCTGAATTTCTTTGGTACTCCAACAGATGTTGCCGTGCCAAGAAAAAGCTTTCCTGTGTTCACACTGGATATCCTAAGTAAGAGCAGGGTTCCTGCCTGTCAAAGGGAATAGGGTGGGTGGTTTACAGAGGATTGCAGAAAGAGGAGATGAGGTAGAATTTGGGTAAAGTGTGTTTGAATAGCTTTATTCATCTGCTCTCCTACTTCTGAGAGGAACATCAAAGGCTTTGACCACGACTAAATGCAAAGCCGTGTTTATTAAAATTAAACCTGGCTCATATTAGGGCTAGTTCTTGGCCTCCAGTAATTCCACAGGGCTCTCCTTTTTTCCGCTCTTCTTCCACCGTCTCATTCAGTCCTTCCTTCATCCATTTTTTTTGTCTTTTTGCTTTTATCAGAATCCCAAAAGGAAGTTGGAAGCTCAGCAGTGATTCATTTTTTCCCTTCTCTGTCTTTGCTGTGATTTCCTTTGTCTTCAGGCTTCAGCTACCTGACCAGGCAGCTGATGGGCCTGGCCGGCGGTCGCTTGGTGCTTGCCCTGGAAGGGGGTCACGACCTCACGGCCATATGCGATGCCTCTGAAGCCTGCATTTCTGCTCTGCTTGGCAATGAGGTAAGTCTTGCTCACCTGTTTTTGGTAACTGCTGATATTTTCGCCCAGATTATTGTGAAATGATCAAATATTAAGTTTCAAGGTGTCTCGTAGAATTATTCATACCACTGTTTTCACGTTACAACCAACAACTTTAATGTGTTGATGTTGTAGACTAACACAAACTGGTGCATGAGTATAAAGTGGCAGGAATAGATAGGTTTCTTTTTTTTAAATAACAATCTAAAAAGTGTGGCATGCATTTGCATTCAGTCGTCCAGAGACAGCTACACTCTGAATATTTTGCACATTCTTTGTGAAATTCAGATCAGATGGAGGCAGTTTAAGCACATTTAGTTTTAAGTTTTGTCTCAGATTATCAATTGAATTTTCATCTGGACTTTGACCAGGAGTTCTGGCTTTTGTGTTCTGATGGAAGGTGAACCTTGACCCCAGTCTTTTGCAATCTGACCGGTATTTTTCCAGAATTGCCCTTTATTTAATGCAATCTTCACATCATAGAAACATCCCAAAGCATGATGCTGCCTTCGTCATTGTGTTTAACCATGACGTTTATTCATGCTGCCATATACAGTGTGCAGTTTTGGTTTCATCTGACTGGAGCTCCTTCTTTAAAGTTTGCTCTGTTCATTGAACAGCTTCATTTATACTAAAAATACTTTACACAAATTGGAGAACTAGGTATTATTTTCCTTCTGTAGTTATAGAGTATGTTGTGTTGGTCCATCAAATAAAATACCAAATGACGCATAGCTATTAAAGTTTGTGAAATGAAAAAAATAAAATGCCTCAGGAGTTATAAATACCGCTGCAAGGCATTTGTCACAAACAGCTGGTGAAAGACCACATTGTTTTAAATAAATTAAATGCATGAAACAGAACACACATTAAAAAATGAAGCTTTCTGCCTAAAACCACATGAAAAAAGATCAATATTAGGTTCTTCTGCTGTATAGATATTAAAACAAAAACTGAGAAGAGCCAGAAAAATCTTCCCATTACTGCATCGACCTCTTTAAGTTAACCGCATCTCTTCCTGGTGTCATGATTGTCTGTCTTCACCACCTCTGAAGCAGGACAACAGCATACGCACACTGCACACAAGCACGTCACAGGGCGAGGATTTCCAGGCAGAAAGAGTAATTGAGGGAGTGTGTGGGCTGATCTGTGGCGCTCAACAAACACTGGTGCTTTGTGACACAGAGCAGAACAGTTTCTCTTCTAAGATCACTTATTTGGAGCCGCATTTAAAATACGTAGCCGTCTATTTATCTTCAAAATGTAGCTTCAAGAAGGAATGATAATCTACAGAAGTGTATGTTGACAATTTACAGTAATTTATCTTTACTGAACTGTAATTGCACTGGCAGTTTGTACAGAGGCAATAATCAGAATAACCTCGAATATATGTGCAGAAAGTGGCCGCTCTGATGCTGCTGGACGAGCTGCGTATTCAGTTTTGAGGGAACTCTCTCCTAAAACTGTTTATTTTTTGTTTTTTGTAGATTGTGATTTATAAAAAACCATAAGCATCTACAATTCTTCTAACCCTCACATGACCCAATATCAGTGCTTATGATGACCATGTCACATCACATCATAAAGCCCAGATGTGTTTTTGTGTTTTCCAGCCTTCATTTTAAACCAAACTTTGTTCATATTGATGAAAAAATTCAATTGTACAAGACCTATCAAAATATTATCAGCTTGAAATCAAATCCAATCACACTTAAAGTCATATCTGTGCATCTTAGGACAACTTGTTTCCTTCCTGCAGATTATTTGAGCTGAGGTTTTTGGCATTGATGGGGAAAAAAACAACATTGTCCCATGCTGATCTTGGAGTTCAAGCAAAACAAACAGAACAATAAGGGGATCGAGATTTGTAAATCGTAAAAACTGGAACATTTGGATCGTCAAGTTACACTGGAGTTACTTTGCTTGAATTGTTATATTGTATGAAAATACTCCTTTGTGTCAAACCTGTTAAAGAATACAGAACTTAATGGAGCTGTACACATCACTCACTCGGGGTTTTATTGAGGGAATGATTCAGATCTTCATAAACGAGAACGTAGCTGCTCACCTAAACGTGACGTATCTACAGTTATAGCCATAATTGAAAAGTTTAACACAACAAAATGTTAATAGGCTATGATTGGAAAACCCTTCTTTTCACCTACCATAACAAATGTAAACGTGCAAGACTTTGCGGAACCCAGGAGACTTCAGATGGAACTGCTTGCATCAGATGAGACCAAGACTGCTTTTACACTAGAATGGTTTGCTTGGTTCACTTGAACTGGACCAGAGTTTTTCCTTGGACAGTCACTCATTTGGTCAAGTGTAAAAGCTCACAAAGTTGGTGCAGACCTAACAAGTGAACTCTGGTCTGCTTGAAAACATGTCTTAGTTCACTTGTATGTAAACCCTCCCTTAAAGAGGGAGTGCAAGACTATCGAGCATCTATATTATCTATAGCAGTGATATCCAAAGTCAGTAGTCAAGAATCTATACCGTACATGTCAAACAGGGTCTTTTCTTGAACATATGATTGTTCATTATCGCACCCCTGTATGTCTAAGTGACATGTTCAGGAGATAATTCAGTCATTTGAACCAGTTGTGCAGAAGCAGCTGCATCTGAAACCTTTGGGAAAGCAGCCCTGAGGACTGGAGTTGGACACACTGATGTAGTCAACTCCACTTTGTGTACGCTTATAAAAAGTTATGGGAGAAGATTTAGAGTTGCCCTGCAGACCAAAGGGGAGTTTGCATAGTATTAATAAAATGTTCAAAGCAGGACTGCAACTCCAGTCCTCAAGAGCCACTGTCCGGGAACGTCTGCATGCATCCCTGCTCCAATACACCTGATTCAAATAAATGGTTAATGATCAGACTGTTGCAAAACGTGCTGATATGTCAAGGAGGTAATTCATGTTGAATATGTTGAACATGAACTCCTTGTTTTAAAGATTTCTTTCCACCAATGATCAATTGTCTCAAAAGCTTCCCAAGATTTCTTTGCACATCTTCACCAGGGGTTAGGGTTAGGGTTAGTCAGACCTATTGTAACATGGCTTCATCTCACAACAACACTATGACATCTGGAAAGGTTTCAGAAACTCGAGGACATCTCAGAGGGCTGGTTTCTTTTTGCTGTCATAGTTCTCTTCCCTGAACATCCAGTTTGAGAGACTGGTTTCTTGTTTCTTACCATACCGCCCTACAGCCAGATAATGAAATGTGCCAGAGGCTTTGCTTCTAATGTTTCATCAGCCTGCGGGACACCTCTACCTGCAGGAGTTTGAAGGAGGTCTCTGGGTGGTGGCCATATTGAGCTGAGAATTTGAGAATGGGCAGGAGGCAACAGGGGGCGTCCAGTCCCCCTTCCCTGCAGGGCAGTGCTCGCCCACATCTGAAAACGCTTACCCTCACACCTCTTCCAGCAGGGTCAGTCTGGGTCCAGGGAACAGACAGTTAAAGGAAACCGAGCAATCATTTGAAGTTGAGAAGGAGGAAACTATTGTAATTCAGCAGCTCTGTAAACTGTTGTACCTGTGGAAGAATGAAATGGATTGAATTCAGAATGAATCCAATGTAGGCTATCGTTACTCAAAATGTGCATGTGTTGAGATTAATTTCTAGATTAATTTAATTCGAATAGGTTGTGATTCAATCTTCTCTAGAGAGTTCGTCTGGAGAATGTTATAGGAATTCGTTGATAAGTAAATACCACAGCATTTTAGTGCTGCATTCTAACGTTTTCCCGACTTGTCCAGCTGGGAACAATGACGTCAGCTGATTGAACAAAAGCAGATCTTTTTGTTGTTTGGATCTTTGATTGCTAAGGGCGACAGTAAAAAA